TTTTTAGCTGTTTACTTATTCATTTTTATGTATTTGAAAGGCACAACAACAGAGAGCCAGAGAGAGAGATCTTCCATCCACTGGTTCACTCCCCAAATGCATGCAACAGCCAGGCCTAAGCCAGGCCAAAGCCAGGCCAAAGCCAGGAGCCAGGAGCCAGGAGTCAGGAATTCCACTTGGTTTTCCCACATGGGTGTCAGGAACTGGAGTACTTAAGCCATCACAAGGTGTCATCTGATGCCTCGCAGGTGCCTTAGCACAAAGCTGCATTGGAATCAGAAGCAGGACTGGATCTCAGGCACTCTGTGCATGATCCTAAGTGGTGACTTAACTTACTGTGCCACAACACCTACTTCTACACAATTTTTAAATATATTTTTAAAGATTTAGTTATTTATTTGAAAGGCAGAGTTACAGAGAGGCATAGGCGGAAAGGGAAAGGTTTTACATCTGCTGGTTCACTCCCCAAATGACTGCAATAGCTGAAGCTGGGTTGGCTGATCTGAAGCCAGGAGCCAGGAGCTTCTTCCAGGTCTCCCATGCAGGTGTGAGGGTCCAAGGACTTGGGCCACCTTCCACTGCTTTCCCAGGACATAGCAGAGAGCTGGATGGGAAGTGGGACAGCCGGGACTCGAACCGTCGCCAATATGGAATGCTGGCACTACAGGCAGCAGCTTTACCTGCTACGCCACAGCACCCGCCCCCCGTATACAATTTTTAAAACCATTAAATCATAGAGTAGAAATAGGATTAACTCAGGCTATGCTGCTAGCACAATATTGCCTAAAATATGGCATGTCAGTCCTTAGCAAACACAACTTACCCACTAACTTGACAGATATTATTGGTTACTTGGTATGTGTCAGGTATTTATCTAATATTAACTTTTTACACTTGATCTTAGCCAAAAGGCCAAGAAGCAATATCTAATATTAACTTTTTAAGAATTATTTCCTATAAGTCATTTATCACTAGGCAGGAGGTAATTATAACTATTTCAAGTGAAAATTTCTCGACTGTTGATTAGATCCAATTCAGTATTCAGGTAAGAAGCCCCCTGGCTATGATGATACGTAAGGTATTGAGTTAAAGGCCTATACAATGGAAATAATGCTGATCATTTTTATGAGAGAAATACTGTTAGAAATTTTCCTTTATATATATAAGAAATTCCATTCTGAGATTTTTGAATATCTGACACATCTAAATATCTTTGTTGGTGGCTAAAACTTATAGGAAAAGTTAGTTCATTGTGGTTCATGGATTATTGATAATGTTACATAGTTTTTCTACATGAATGTATTTGTATAGGTGTTTTATACAGATGAAAGTTGCACGCTTTATTTCTAGTTTTGTGATTTGGGGAATTGTGATCATTTTGAAAGTAAGGTTTTTAATATAAACACTGAAACTTGAAATAGAGACATTAAGTCTCATTGCAACTTGCCTTTTTCTGTTTTGTATGCATAACTTTTTTATGTTACCACTTCGATTTTTTTTTTTTTTTTTAATTTGAGAGACAGAGAGAAAGTTCTAATATGCTGGTTTGTTCCCTAATGTCTGCGATGGTGCGGACTAACCAGAGGCCAAAGCCAGTAGCCACAGGCACAGTCCAGTTCTTCTCTGTGGGTATCAGGGACCCAGTTATTTGAGAAATCACATGTATTTGCATTTTCTGGTAGCTGGAATTAGGAGCTGGAGCAGGCATCAAACCCAAGCAACCTGATACGAGACATGGGCTTCTTAACCGTTAGACAAACACCTGCCCCTACTTCATTCTTTAGAAAATAGAATCAGTGCATTTATAGAGATTGAATGAGGCATTTCTTCTCATTTTTTATTTCTGCATTTACCACTGACAGCAAGACTTCTAATCAAGTAGAAACAGGTGGCACGCTTTTGAAACTCAAGAACAGGGATAATATTTGATGACTAAATTTCTAACCCTCAGTGTGTTTGTCTAATTAATGTTTCTTCCGTTTCCTGTTCAGTTAAAGAGGAGAGTGGCAAACTCTCCGATAGATATCTGCAGTCACAGGATGCCTCCGTTGGATGTTTTGCCTGGATTCGCTGATGGGCCACGTAACAGCAGTTCCACTGGAATCTCCATTACTTCTTAGAATTCTGGAGTTTCAGGGGTCTCTGGCAGTGTCTGATACAGACAAGAAGAAAGTCAGAGGAGGGTAAATGAGTGGATCCAGGTTGTCTAACTCAGTAGGCTGCTGGGCATTGCAACCAGAGTTAGTTGAGAGCACAGCCCACTCAGTTTCCCAGAAAGGAATCCGTGAACCTGACAGTGGTGGTACCGGTGGAAGGGTAAGACTTACCTTCTCCTCAAACCTGAGGAGCTTCTCAGCTGGCCCACATAGAGCCTCGAGCACCACATGAAGGATTTTAGTCTGTGTTGTACAAGCAATGAGAAGTGTTAAAGCAAAGGACTTAAGTGGACCAAGACAGTACCACGTTTGCATTTCAAACACCCGTCTGTCTTCACTTGAGAGAATGAGTACAAATAGGTGCAGTTAAAAAAGTGCTGGATTAGGGTGATGGAGACAGATGCAGACACATGGAGAGGCTTAAGAGGTATATAAAATAGTGGCAGAGGGAAGAAAGGAGTCCTGTGGTTCCTTGGTTTTTGACTTTTTGGAATCTTTTAAATGGCAGTGCTGTTTTCTGAGAGGCCCATGGTATAGGGTGGAAGGTCGTGAATTGTGGTTTAGATCCGTTATGTTTAAGAATCTGTCAGTAGACTGTGGCATGGCAGGGTGAGATGCTTTCTGCAGCACCAACATCCCATATGGGTGCTGGTGTGTGTCCTGGCTGCTCTACTTCCAGTCCAGCTCCCTGCATTTTAATGTGCCTGGGAAAGCAGTGGAAGATGGCCCAAGTCCTTGGGCTTCTGCACCCACATGGGAGAACGGATGAAGCTTCCGGCTCCTGGCTACCGCCTCTCCCGGCCCTGGCTCTTGCAGCCATTTGGGGAGTGAAGCAGCGGATGGAAGATCTCTCTCTCTGTCTCTTCTCTCTCTCTCTCTCTCTCTCTCTCTCTCTCTCTCACTCACTGTAACTCTGACTTTCAAATAAATAAGTAAATCTTAAAGAAAATAAAGTCTATAAGCAGTTTGTTACTTTTATGGAACCAGGGCTCATAAGAGTTCCGAGCTAGACATGTGATTTTTAATTAGAATGAGATTCCCTAGTGGTAGAATTTAGGCTGAGCAGAGGCAGAATGGGTATAATTTTCTTGCGGTGGGTATATGAAAGAATAGAATAGAATCTAGCTTTAGTTTAGCCCTCTGCCTCATCTTACTGTAAATAACAATCAGTTGTCAGGTAGTGAGAATATGTTTCAATACCATTATGTTTTGACCCTGGATTAGTGAAATATTACTCAACTCTTTGGAAATAGGTTTGTGATAAAAAGTATAACAACATTTTCAGTCCATGTGCATTTGCCTTCATTATGTATCCAACCTAGACTGTTTGATCTATGACATAGTTAGGATCATATTTTCTCTGATATGATTACAACTTTTCTCATAAATTCCATGACATGTGTAATATCTAGAACCACCAGGAAACCTCCCAGCTGCCCAGCTGATGTCCCATTCAGTTTCTCAAACTTACCACGTGGAAACGCAGCTCCAGCCTTTCCTCGGGTCTGCTTTTCCCTCAGATCAGAAAGCCGAGACCCACTCTCTCCCCCACATTCTTCTTTCTCCGCTGCTATCGCTCTGGTCCAGGCTGCCTCCAGCTCTGACCTAGATTGCCAGGTGCCCTCCTAACTTTTCTCCCTGCTTCCACTCTTGCCGCCCTCACTCTGAACCACTCTCCACACAGTGATTTAGATATCTTCGTGAAGAAACTGGATCATTTTGCTTCCTTGCTCAGAGTACTTGGCAAGAAGCAAATCTCGAGTCTTCAACTTGTTAGCTCCTTTAGATTTCTAGACCGCTTTCAAAAGTCCTTGTGATGCCATTGACTTGGCTTGATAATGAGCCTTAGGAATTCAGTGACTCTGGCATATAGGCTGCCCTGGACCTGATTTCCTCTTGAGCAGGATGCATCAGAGAAGAACAAAAGGATGAATTTCAAGGGCCCAACTGCCAGTTCTCCCACTTACTGGCTGTCAAACTCTGTGCTCTGAGTTGGTTTCCAATTTGGTGGGCTATGGTAGAAATTAAATGGCACAGTCCACCAAGCACAGAGCAAGTGCCTAAAAATGACCATGATAATTGTCTGCTTACGGTATTTATCCTTGGGAAAAAGTTGTCAAATTACCAAATGTTAAGACTGCTTTATATCAACTTAGAAGCAATATAGTGTGATATAGGCAAACCTTTGAAAAGAAATAATTGATGAACATATTGACCAAAATTCCCTGCTGGCTTTTCTTGTGAAAATAGGGAGAGAAAAATGGTTCTGTGTCTGAGGCGAAGATAAGTGTTATAGAGAATATAGTTTCCTCTCGTTTTTATTTGATCTTTTTATTCTCTCTGAAGACACCGTCTCAAAGAATGTGAAAAACTTCAAAAGCAGAATAGAAGCACTCACATTGACACATGGAGACCTTTACGACTTTCTGTTTACCCAAGGATTTTTTTTTAAAGCCCTAGATAACAGAATGTCAAGACTGGAATTGGAAACGAGCCTTCCTTATTGTCGACTTAGAGTGAAATCTTAGGTCAGAGTCATTCCACATGGATAAATGTTTGGCACTTGGGGAAAAAGGAGTGTATTCCTGTTTTATTGCTGTTGTCAAGTGTTTTACATTTTAATCTTATACCGGGCTTTCGATTAGAAGCTGGTTGTATTCATCATCACACTCAAAGCAGTTTTTAGGCTCTAGATGATTAAATCCATCAGATTTATGTAGCTATTTTACTCGCCTGGACAGAGAGTGTGCATTTTTTTTCATTTAAAGACCTTGTCAAAAGCACCAAATATGAAGATAATTGTTTTTGTTTATTGCTTTTATTTTTCTCTCTCCTTTTTCCTAGGATTATGACAGTTTTTTTGAATCAAAGGAAAGCAACACAGTGTTTTCATTCTTAGGCCTGAAACCACGGTTGGCATCAAAGGTAAGTAAATCTTTTTTTGTTCTTGTTTTAGAATTCATCCTTCTTGAATTGCTTTTAGGGATTGAGATTGAAGGTGTTAGAGAAATGCAGGTAGTCACCTAAATGTTCAGTTTTTGCTAAATGCATTAGTTTGAGACGATCCAGTTTTAAAACACACAAAGAAGCCTATTATTTTTTTCCTTTCTAGTTGTCCATTGTTGCCATAAATCAGAGTGCTAATGTATACCCCACTATTCCAAGGAGAATTTAAGATCAGAAAAAGCAGTGGGTACTTTCTATTTAAAGTTGCAAATTTACATCACAGTCAGCCTTCCATTCTGGTGGGTTCAGCCTCATAAATTCAACTAACTATTATTCCTAAACAATAGTATAACAACTGTTTATATAGAGCATATGTTATCTTAGGTGTTATATAGTCTATAGTGATCTAAAATGTGCAGGAGGATTGCATAGGTTGTATACAAACCTTGTGCCATTTTATTTGAAGGACCTGAGCATCCACAGATTTTGGTACCCATTGGGGTTCCAGGAACCAGCCCTTCACAGACACTGAAAGTTGACCACACTTTATATTTTTTGAAATAGCAGATTAAAAGCCTTGTCTGAAAGGTCTTCTACATGTTTAACTTATTAACATTAGATAGGAGATGGTCTACAGTAACAAATGGTCTACCTTGGAAAAATAAGGTGCAGTTCCTAAACCAATCAGAATATTTTAAAGACCATTTTGTTAAGTTACATGGCTTTGCAAAACCTAAGGATCCAGCTTTACTCGTGTTTTATCTCTAGAAATGATGAATGTGATCACAACTTTATTAAGCACATGGGTTCACTTCCTTTTTTTTTAGTTTTATTTAAGTTATACAAGTTTCGTGTATTTCATATAAACAGATTTAGGAACATAGTGATACCTCTCACCCTACCCTCCCTTACGTTCCAACCCTTCAAAACATTTATATATGAAGTAGGGCAATATATTGAAATTTTCTTTTTAAAAATCCTTTATTTTCTGGTTATAAAAGTAGCTGAGGCTCACTTAAGAAAATTGGGACAATACAAAAAATATGAAGTAGAAAATAAAAATTACTGAGAGCTGCCTTCATTGGCATTTTGCATATTCTTTTGCAATCTTTCTATACATGGTAATTGAGGTTTTGACTGTATTCCAATTGGAGACCAGATTCTAAAGAGGCTATTTTTACTACAATTGAAATGAAAGTACATTGCTAGGATCTTTGATATCTATAAGTAATAAGTCTGTTTAGGCTACCCAGGATTTGTACCATCTCTGGAATACCTGTGGGAAAAAGACAGAGGCCATGAATGATGTAAACTGTACACCAGCGCCTGCAGTGCACAGCTGAGGTTGGTTGTACATCAGTCAGTCCACAGATGGTTGTGGGTGGTTTTTATGCACATGTTTAAGCAGAGGCAAAACCCACACATACAATATTTAAAGGTTCTTAGAGCTATTCTTGCAGAGTGGGACGTTTGAATACTTTTTGGGAAACTGGAGTATTTTTATAACATATTTTTTCATCCAAAGACATTCAACAACCCAGATTTATCTTCAAAGAAATGAAAAAAATGGAGTAAGGGTCATCTGGTGGGTACATAAATCCCAGTGGGCCTCATTGTCTATGCAAAAACTTTTTAAAAAAATGCCATGTGTTTGCCATCTTTGTTCTTATTTTCCCCAAAGATATAGATTCCACTGAGACTTGGTGGCTGACATTTTTATTCTCAAAAAATTTCTCAAAAAAATCTATTATCTGTAAAGTGTACATTCCCACATAGCTTGTGGTCATCACATTAAGGTTGGTCCTGATGCTCTTGAGCTTGATTTGATTTCAGTAGACCATTCCAAAAGCAATGTGAGCCTTAGGCGGCTTCCCCGCCCATTCAGCCCACTGTTGTCAGGTGCCTAAGTGAGCCACCCTTGGGCAGGAGCACATGGCACCGGGACGGAAGTCCATGGTGCACAATCTGCTGTTTTCTGTCCTGTACCATTTGCAGCCTTAAAGGTTAATGGCAGCTCATACTCCATCCTTATATGAGAGAAGTGAAAATATGTTTAAGAACAATTCAGGGCTGGCACTGTGGTGTAGCAGGTTAAGCTGCTGCCTGCAGCAGTAGCATCCCAATTGGGCAGTGGTTCGAGTCTGGGCTACTCCACTTACAATCTGGCTCCCTGCTATGTGCCTGAGAACGCAGATAGCTAGAAGGGAAATACAGGGAGGAGCTCCTGAGACTGTAAGTGGATGTTACAGGTGTGGAAAGAACTTAGGGTGAGACCTGAAGGAGAAATGATAACATTAAAAAAAATTCAGCATTTCCCCCCTTTCCATTCATTTATTTTTCAACTTGGTAATAATTCATTGTACAATCTACAGTCTAAGGCCTTGACAGAGTGTTCACAGATTTACTGTACTAAAAGATGCAGAGAGAGCTTATTTTTCATCTCCTTTCCTACTTCCTCTGCAGTAGACACAAAAAACTGCTAGAAAGCCTACCAGGAAACATATGAAGATGCGTTTAGAGTCTGCCCTCACTCTTACACAGTAAGAAAGGAACATTTCATAGCTCAGCAGGCACAAGTGCAGTGAGCCTCTGGGCTGCTCTCAAAAGTAGACAGGGGAAGGGGAAGGTCAGAGGTCACCAAATGGTGGCATATAGACCACAATTGGATATGTTATTTGTCTTGCACAGAATTCTTAACAAAATGTAAATAGGTTGCTAATATTTAAAATACAGATTGCCTACATCCCTTGAGAAGCTGGAAGGTGTGGAAGGCCCAGGTAGGCGTAGAAGAACCTTGTCCCTTATGACTGGCTGGTCCTGGCGGTGGCTAATCCACCATGATCCCTCCTATCCCTGAGAAAAGAAGTCCTCACTAGTGATTTTTACATAGAAAACAGCGACGTTTGTTACTTAATGAACAAGGTCTGAATTAGAAGATTTTGCTTTTAGATCCCTGCAGTTCAGCGTGATCTTCAATATGTAACAGTTGGTAAACACCAGGCCCTGAGCAGCTAGAGGTAGAGCTGGGTGTGGGGGCCTCCTCTGGCCAGGTGTCAACTTGAGGAACTGGGTTGGTGACTTAACTAACAGGTGTAGTCTTGTGTTACCATTAACCGGCAACTCTACAGACCCCCTGAACTAATTCCCACCCCCAACCCATGCACTGGTAGAACTTTACTTTTTAGAGGAGTCTCAGCAGGTTTTTGGAAACATGCGATGTTCTTTCCAATTCTGTATTTGGCAGGTCAGGTGGGTGTGTTTGAACTCCAGGCACTAACTCTGAAATCCAAGGTTCGCGCTTATCAATTACATGGGAATGATTTACTGTCATTCCCAACATCTGTGTTCCTGGTATTTAAAAAAAAACAAAACAACAACAACAAAAAACTGCCAAAGGTGAATTTTATTATCAATTCAATGCAAAAAGTAGTGTTTGGTTTTTTTTTTTTTTTTTTTTTTTTTTTTATTTAATATATAGGCAGAATCTTAGAGAGAAGAAATGGAAGATGACGGAGATGCATTTTGGAGCACCCCTGGTACTCAGCACACACCTGCTTACCTAATGCATCACTGTGACAAAAGCCACGTGCATCATCAGTATCTTTGCTTGCCACGGAAAAGGTGTTTTTGGAAGATGTGGGTATAATGGGGATTGCATGATTGCTTTAAACCAAATCAGAACGGTGGTGGATTTTTTCTCGTTTTTAGATTTGCCTGCAGTTGCCTCATGAAACTACTCTCACCTGTTACAGGTGTGCTCCCTTAATGATGAAAAGATAAGTGGGTGGCACCATCAGAGGGAAAATGTTGGATCTGTCCTAGGTTATAGTAGATGCCAGTATTGCATGCAGTCACTTCTCTTTAAGCTGCCTGGACTATATCCTTTAAGTTAGTCTGCCAGGCTATTCAAATCTTTGGATCAGAAATTTTGAAAAGCAGTGCTGTTGACCATGGGCACTGGAGATTTTTGCTGCACAATCCCTAAAGTTACTATTCAGTGCTTTGTAGTAACACCTTTGAAAAAGTTAGACATTCTAGACTCCTTTTGGTAATGGAAAGAAACATTCCCTTATAAAGCCTCAAGCTCCTATAGATTATCCTAAAAATTATTGTTGCAACATTTTGTGATGAGAACCAAGTTACAGGGATGAAAGCAATCAGTATTTTGGAAAAATACATATGCTTCTCTATCTCTTATAAGGGGAAAATTTTACCTAAACACATTAAGACTACTGGAAAGATATATTTTAAGAGGTGCATTAATTAGATAGTAAATTTATAGGAAAATTATCTGACTAGTATCTTAAGGCATTTTCAAGTCTAGCAATTTCTTTATATCTGAGTGCACATATATTTTTAAATGCAGCTCCCCAAACTAATAGCTGCTTATTCTATTTTGTGAAGGGATTATATTTTTTTGAGAAAGGAAGATCTTGGTTAGATATATTTTGTGAACCCTTGATGAAGCATATTAAAAGATCCCAATATTGCTGTAGAATTTGTTTTCCTATGTTATTTTTCATTGTTGCCCTACTTCGCTGACATTTCTGTCCAATGTACAACTTGGATTCTCCAGTCGTGTAGATTGATGGTTTCATTGCATGTATGAGCACAAGTTGAGTTTTCAGAGTGACATATGTGACAAAGGGGCTGTCCAGGGAATAACTCTGCATCGTCCTTGGCAAACACACAACATGTCTACTTCATTTGGGCGAAGGCTACCTTTCTGCACCCATGTTTCTATAACATGGATGCTTACATTTTGAGTGTTTGAAGTTGCCAAACATAAGAACAGCCTTGAACAAGATGCTCTCAGAGTGTCGCCTAAAATACTCTTCTGTTCCCAGCATCCTGATGCTGGGCCTTTCCTTATGATTCTGAGCAGAGAATTTAATAGAAATGGAAAGAGCAGAAGAATGAAAGCCCTGTCACCTGTGCCCTCACCCTGCCCATGTCTTGCTCAAAGTAATTCTCAAGAA